ATTTTAAGCAGGTGCGTGCTATGCTTAGATGTGCATTTTTAAAGCTCCACTCTGTGGAAAGTGTGAAGCGTGGATTAGAAGGCCAGATTGGTGACAGGGAAACGAGGCAGGCAGCTAGGGCACCGTTCCTGGTGAGGAATGACAGGTTTTGATCTCATATGGTGGCAGTGGAGAGGGAGAGAAGGTGGATGCCAAAGATAACCCTGGCAACTGATTGGAGAGGGGTGAGGATAGGGTAAAGTCAGGGAGAGGGACGGGAGGGAGTCTAAGATTATGCTTGGGCTTTTCTTTCAGTTGAATTGGTAAAGGGCGACATTCTTCAACAAAATATGGAACATAGAATAAGTAGGAGAAAATGATGAATTTAATTTTAGACATGCTCAGTTTCAAATGTGTAAAGAACATCCATAAGGAGTCGGGCTGCATATGAGTCTACAGAGTTATCATGGGGAAACTGTGGGTCTGGGTAATATTAGCATATGGAAAAGAGAAAGAGAGACCAAGACGGGAGCTAGAGAGAAGAAAAGGTGAATGAGGGATATAATTTAGCCAACATAGCATTAAGAAGGCTAGAAGAATGGAAAGATCCCAGAAGAAGATGAAAGAAGAGAAAGGAGAAACACAATATAAAAAAAAGTCAGGTAAGATTTGCAAGAAAGAGGTAGCCATCGACAGTACCCAGGTTCATAGGGAGTAATGTCAGAGATTTGGTGAATTCTGGCTGCTCACTGACTGCTGTGTGATGACGCCATACTACACCCTTTGTGAAGGCTCTCTGGTCTTCGCAACATGTCTGCAAAGAAATGGTGCTAGTGGGATTGACAATGGCTGACTTTGTAGAGCATTTTCTTTATGCCTAATGTTTGCCAAGCCATTTGCTCTTAATACTTTATCTGTGATTCTACAGATCAGAAGGTTTGCCCATGAGAAAGAAGGTGGGGCATATTAACTGTAGCAGGTGAAAGTGTTATGGAGGATACTGGGTGGAGACCTCTAAGTAAGCCAATAAACTATAGCATAACTGAAAAGTTTCATCCTCAGGATAAAATAACTATAGGAAAATGGCCTTTATTAGTTAATAACTTTGGCCCATTGGACTTTCCACTCCTGAGTCCTAATATTGCCATCTACAGTTACATTGCAATGGCAAACAGAAACACCAAAATGGCAACCAGGATTTGGAGGCAGATTATTTACTTTGATACGCATTGATTGGGGTCATTCCCCAAATATCAGGCCCTGATCTCTGGAGGTCTAGAGCTTATATGGGATAAGCAAGAAGCAAGTACAGAGGCAGAATGGCTTGTCAATTGGGAACTGGTTCTTACAATGCACATCATAGTGACCAGCTGTGCATCATATTGACCAGCTGTTTCTATGGGACAGAAGCAACTGGAACTGCAACAGGAACTATCAGCTGGGCAACTAAGTATACTGGCTGTGGCAGGGGAGCATTTTCTGCTACAGCATAAATGGTCACGCAGAACAGGCATTACTTGGGTAGAAGTCCTCTCTTCTGTCTTCCTGTGGCACTCACTAAAACCCTCTGGTGTTACTCTTGTCTTACTACATCAGAATTATGTATTAAAATCATATCTTTTGAGGTTATGTGTGTTCTGCCAAGGGAAGGATCAGACTTCATCATTCCCCAGTGATGTCTGGCAGTTGCCTGAAACGAAGCAGACACTCAACAAATGTTTAGAGAAAATTAATTTTTTAACCAGTTTTTTTTCTGTGACTCAACACATGGCCCACTTCAGCAGGAAAAAATTAGACTGAATGTTTTAGTAAGAGTCCAAGTGTCAACAACCAATCAAGTAAAGTAAAACAGAAAGTAGTGTTCTGGAAAGTTGCTAGCTTTCTCAGGAAGACTATAGAAAGAACTGCTTAGAGGACAGGGCTACTGAAATCAAAGTTCCTTTATCAAATTGGACAAGTTGTCTGCCATGCTCCGCTGGCACTGTGGCCTTTGGACAGTCCCTTGTGTGTGCCCATTACCATTAATAAACTTCCCTTCCTGTCCTCTGATGCAGATTCAAAGTCTCAAGTGAAGTTTTACACTGGCTGAGCCTAAATTTCAGTCTGAACTGTAGCTGCTGGGGGACTGGGACAGGGGTCATATTCTTACTCAGGGAGGTGGGTCCTGCCCTCAGTCATGACATACCATGGGGACAGAGCCCCAGCGAGAAAGCGGGTTTGGATCCTAGGTTGTCAAAGCAACAGAAATGTCTATTAACCTGGCTGAAAGGGTTCTGAGTCATTGCTCGAAAGGATAGCACTCCTAAGAATTTAAAGCATAAGTAAAATAGACTCCTAGCTAGCTGTCTGAAATGCTTTAGATAATAGTTTCTCCATGAGGCAGAGATGGATTGAAGTACAATGCATTCCCACATAGCCATCATCACCCGAAATGCTTTCATGTCAAAGTCTTACCGTAGAAAACCTGAGAGCTGGGATCTAGAATTACATTTTTTTTCTCTTTTTCAGGGTGTTGCTAGAGTGAAGTTGGTAAGAAGATACATTTATTCCCTCAATTCTGCTGTCTCCTCTTTGAAACTGATACTATGCACTGCAATACAGCATCTGTGTTTCAGAAAAAACGATGTGTGAAAACTGTTTTCAAAAATTCGTGCTATCCAGATAAAAAGAAAACCAAAAATATGTTTGGTTACCACTTTGTAGAGCCTACTGAATGTGTCTGTGAGTGGAAATCTAATTGTCATCCCTTTCTAGTGAAGTCTTCCATGAACATGACATTTCCATTATAAAGGGAAGTCAGTGCATCATGGAGTCCATGCAGAAACCATAAAAATAAATAATGACCAGTTGATTGTTTAATGATTTACATTTCTTCTTGACAGAAGTAAGCAAAGGAAGTAAGCAAAGCCACAGGTACAGAAAATGCCCTGCATTGTCAGTAAAGAGAAAAGGAATGTTTTCATGGAACTGTTACAAATAGCTCCCTTGTTTTGAATGATAACTAATGATTATCCTCCTGTTCTTCATTTACAATCAGAGAAGTTTTCATCACTTGTTCTTGTTACCATGGGATTAGTATAAAAACATTAGGATTCACAGTGCTGTGTTAAAGAGCCGAGGAAACCACACAGCTTCGAAGGGTCAGACTTAGGCTGCACTTGTTGCCAAAAAACTCTATTCAATCCTCTGGACGACAGCAGGAACAAATAATGTGTTATTTCTGTAATCTTCATAACTTAAATATGCATGACCAGCATTCCTCATCGCAGCCATTTAAATGACGAGTATTCATTTGATGATTTGGCGAGTTTTTTCTTCATAATGATTTTTAATTTTCTTTTGATGAGCAATTGTCAAAGGAAAGGGTCTATGCTAGCTGTCCAGATAAGGAAATTTGCAATTAATAAGGTAAAAGCACACAAACGTGTCAGATTAATATTGCTTAAAGCACAGCTCCAATCAATAGCTCCCCTGATTAAGTCTAATGTCTCTAAGTCTCTACTAATTAAATCCAGAATTTTATCATTGAAATTCACAAGTCTTCATTCTACAGCCTCTATCTCCTGATATCTTGTTCTACTTTTCTCCCTCTAGTATATCTGTAGTATAATCACAGTGATTCTTAATCCTGCATATCACAATCACCTGGGAAGCTTTAAAAACAAATCCCCAGACATACTATCCCCAGACGTACTAGTTAAATCAATTTGTCATTATGTTTTTGTTTTAATTTTGTGAGTTTTAAAAACGTTTTGTTTTGGTTACTATTACTACAAGTCAAACCCCAAGATTTAGTTTTGTAAAACAAGGAACTATTATGCTTTCAAGTTCTGTGGGTCAAAATTTTAACGGCACAGCCTGATGGTCTTGGGATATCTGTGGTGTCCAAGGTCTTAGTTGAGACAACACGAATGGTTACGGATATCTCAAACACTGGGCGGCTGGAATCGCCTGGAGGCTTCTGTAGGACATTTCACTAGACTGGGTGAACAAAGGCCCTGTTCACCTAGACCTACCTGTCAGCTAGGTGCTTATGTCTGCCTCTCCATTCAGTTGGGCTTGCTCAAAATGAGGTGGCTCAAGGAGTCCGATGTCCTGTGAAGGATGCCCAGGATTCCAGAAGTAACTATTCCACAGAAAAGGTGGAATTGTAAGGCCTCTCATGCACTTGGCAGGTAGAATCTTTCAGATTTGGAGCGGGGCACTTCTTCATAGGAACTTGCCACATTTAAAAGCTGTACACACACACACACACACACACACACACACACACACACCAGAGGATTTCAGTGTACAGCCAGAGTTGAGAGCTTTGGATTTGCTTTTGCAAGCAGTAGACCACACAGCAGGGCTGGAGGGTGCGTGAAATGGAGACACCCAAAGTGCAAAATCTAAGAAGGTCGCCACTCTCAGAGTTATGCAAGGGCAGGGTAGAGGACGAGAAGCAGCATCTCTTTACCTTTTGTAACCTACACCTGATAGCATTATCACACCTAACTTTATGGTAAAGACCTCCATTGTGACCATTTTACTGATTAGGAAACCTGAGACTTAAATTCTGAGCAACGTGCTAGCTGGCAAAATAACACAGTCTAAGGCAGGTTTGGAACTCAGGTCTCAATGGCTATGAGGAAGGAGCGCTTCTGCCTTGGTGATATCCACGAATCCTCCTGTTTTTGGAGGGTGAGGCAGAGAGCCCAGCTGGGGCCAAAAGCAAAACAGGTAGAATCGGTGTTCAGGTGTTCCTTCGTGCGGCGAGCCTGGGGACCGTCTACTTCGCCCTTCTGTCCGTCTCCCCTCTCCGCTGGGAGGAGCGCCGCCTCCTCTCAGGCAGGTGAGACGTCGCTGGATGGGCAGCGTGCCCAGGGCCCTCTCGCGGGTGGCGGCGCCCGGGCGCAGAGCCGGTCCCCCGCCGAGGGCGCCCGCTTGTTGCTAAGTGCAGGGACGAGCGATCCCGCGCGCCCGCCGCGGAAGGGGGCGGCACAGGGGGCGGGAGCGCGCGGCGCGGGGACGGGCGGCGCGGGAGCGAGCCTCGCCCTCGCGGATCCCCAGCCCGCGGCGGCGCCGGGTCCCGCCGGCGCTCCTCCCCGCCCGGTCCGCCCGCGCCGTCCTGCTGCCCAGGATGGAGGCGTCCCGGGAGACGTCGCCGTCCTCCACCAACTCCTCGGAAGAGCTCAGCTCCGCGCTGCCGCTGTCCAAGGGCATGTCCATCTTCCTGGACGTAAGTGCGAGGGCAGGGGCCGGCGCCTCCAGCCTCGCCCCTCTTCCCCGGAGGCGCCGACTCGGCGCTGCCAGCCGCGTCAGCCCCAGACGCGGACGAGCGCTCCCCGGCCCCACCCCGACAGCCCCCGGCGAAAGCAAGGGCGCGGACTCCCGCTCAACTTGCACAAGGGCTGTCCCGGACCTGCGGCTCGGGTTTAAGAGCGCTAACGACATCGCCAAAGTTAGATTTCCAGCAGCGCGGGGCGTCCCACGGGGGTGGCACGGTAGAGGCGCGGGGCCCCAGCTCACCCCTGCTGCGTCCCTGTGCCCGCGGGCCGCCTCGCTGCTCTCCGGGGCAGGAGCGAAGCCTTGGAGATCGCCCGGCCCACGACCTCCCCGGGCTCTGGGGAAATAGTTACTTTGAACACTTTGGTTTTTGCTGTTACAGCGGTGGCCAAGATCTCTCTTATGATCAATCTTTTTCCCGCTGCTACTTCTGGTTTTCTTTTTCCCCTTTCCTCCCGTTATTCTCCTTCCCCGAGCCTGTCCAAGTTGTAATGACTGTTATCGCCTTCAGTTCTAGCTTTAGACTGTTTCCTCACCCCACCCTTTTTGGTCCTGGCGTTTGCTTCGCAATTGACTTCCTTCCTTTAAATCTCTGCTACCATCACGCTTTCTTTCCCCTCTGTGCTATTTCTCTGCCTTCGTGCTGTGGCTTCTATCTTTGTAACAGTTTTAGTTCTTCTTGATTTCGCAATTTCACTGCACTTTCCCTTCCTGCTGTTACTGTTCCCTGTATTTCTTACCCTGCTCCCCAGTTCTTTTCACCGCCTGGTTGGGATCCGTGGTTTTTCCTCTTTCTCAGTTGCCTGCCTGGGGTCCAGCTCTCTGAGCTCTTGTTGTCTCATCCATGCTGTTCCCCCAGGTACGGTGTCTGACTCAGTAGGGACCCGTCTAGCTGCCACTTGTTTAGCGTGACAGAAAATGGGCAAAGGGCATCTGGGAATGCTGGGCGCTTTCTCTTACCCTTTTGAGCTATCATTTCTTATTAAAATCCAAGTGAGTTGGAGGTGGGCTGGAGGCCAAATACATTTATTTGTGGAAAGATGAAAATGTGCAGAAATCAAATTGCTAGCATCATAAAGGAGGCAAAAACGATGAGGATAATGGGAGGAGGGGCAAGGCACCACCCTGGTTGTTTTGAACGGAGTCCCTAGAATTTTTTTCATCAGTAGGGAAACGCCTATTAATAATGAAAAGTGACTGAATGCATGTGAGGGAGAGAAGGTTCAGTCAGGTGCCCCGCAGCCTTGTCCTCTTCCCTCCGTGCTGTTCCACCTTCCATCTGGGCATCCAGCATGCTGGCCAGCCATCTTCTTCCCACCAAAACCTAAGCTCTGAGTCTCTATGCATCCGATGCTTAGGCACCTCTTCTTTTTGAGGACTTGTCTCTGCTTGATTTGAAGTAATCAGATGATGTTATTGGTCCTAATGGTTTAACTGGCTGGTGTATTCCTTATGTCCATAAAGCCCTTGAAGACGAGATCTGAGGTACAAGGGAGCAGGGAGAGGCACAAGGCACAGCTGGCAAGGAAACCCTCAGCCAGGGCACTTAGAAGCCACGCGACCAGGAGGCTGACAACTAAGGTGCCAAAAAGGCGATTCTCCAGCAAGTAGGGCCTCTGGTCAGCTCTGCCCTGATCTGTGCTCTGCCCCCCAAGGGTATCAAGTGCTTCCTTGAGATTTGGTTTTTAAGCAGCTAACACATTTTGGTGATACCATGGAGGTGGCTTATCACTATGAAAATGGAAAGTCAATCCTTAGCACCTGTACCAGCCTTGGCTCAAGTGTTCAGCTGTGATTTTCAGAGGAAAAGAAAATTTAATTTATTATTATATATACAGGATTGTTTTCAATTTCTGTAAACAAGCAGTATCAGGTCCCTGTCCTGAAGGAATTTTTCATCTCTGAATCCTTGCCTTCTTAGGTCTGTTTCTAGAATTTAAAAATAAAAATAGAAAACTGATTCTGTATGAAAGGTGTTGACATGGTTGTTTGTCAGAAAAATGCTAGAGTCTACCAAAAAAACTGCTGTTGGATTTTGTCTCAAATAGAAAAGGTTTTGTTTGCACATTTTTCGAGTTATTTTGTGAAAGATCTAACACTCTCATGAAACATATGACATGAAAAAGGATTTTTATTTACGGAGTTTTGAATTATTCATTTCCACACCATGTTGCTTTTAGCAAAATAAAATGTGAAATATAAATATAGCATTTTATTTGATCAGGCTTTAATATATTCTAGTAACACTAAGAAAGATTGCTTTTTCACTTCTATTCAGATTGTAATAAATAAATGATACTACCTCTTCACACTGGAATAGAAATAAAACCTTTGGGGGCTTCTGTAGTACACAGATAATTTCCAAATTCAAGGAAAACTGATTTCCAGTGTTTATATTTCAATATCACTACAATAATCAATCTTCTAAGAAATAATTTAAACTACTGTTGAGAATATGACTAGATGTGTCCAGCTGTTAAGAAACCAGAGAGAGATAATTAACAAGAAAATCAGAAAGAGATTTAGCACAATTATTGACATTTTCTTTATTCTCTTTCTCTCTAAATCAGCAATAACAGTTCAGATAAGTCAGATACAACCCCAGGTGGCTGTATGAAAAAAAAAGAGCTCATAGTTTAGGAAACTGTGTGTGTGTGTATCTGTGTGTGTGTGAATGTGCGCATGTGCACACACTATGTAAATTTGAGGCAGTATGGTTATGCTAGTGTTCCATGTTGAATGCATAAATAGCAGTAGCTAAATCCACAAAGTGATATAGGAACCGTTTCTTTGTAAGTCTAATTTACATTATTTTATTTATAAAATGATAGAATTAAGTACCAGTTTACCACATATACTGTTGAATACCTACTGGGCTGCAGCTCCCTTGACTTTTAATTGGGAGGAAAGTGGCCTTTCCCCACATCAGTGGCTAGGTGGTGGTGAAGTTCAAAGGGTGCAAAGGAGAGAGGTGTCTTCCCTTCCTTCCCCTACCCAGTGTGCACAGCCATGTACACCCTGAGCTCAATAGTCTTGTCTTAGTTACTTTTCTCTCACTGCTGAGACATACCCGGCAACCAAGTTAAAACAGGAAAGGTTTATTTAGCTCACAGTTTATAGAGGTTTCAGTCCATAATCCACTGGCTCTCAGGCAGGGTGGCATGGCAGAGGAGCAACAGTTCATGGTGGCCAAGGATAGCAAGAGCAACAATGTCAGTAGAGAGACAGAGAGAGAGCAACAAGACTTTTTCTGTCCCTTATATTGTATGCAGGCTGCTCACCCTAGGGTGGGTGTAGCACTCACACCCTTAATCCCAGCATTGGACTATAAATCAACCACAAACCCTAGACTCAACCACGTAGGAAAAACCTGCCCCCCATGACTAAATGAGGGGGACATCTAGACACAAACTATAACAAGCCTGTTGGTTAAGAACTTGGTAAAAATAAGTACTAGTTTCTCCTCAGAAGGACACTTAATTCTGAAGCCCTCCAGGTATTCATGGGAATGAGAAGTGAGCACAGCAGACGGTCAGAGCGTTGCTCCATGACCAAATTCTGTTACAGCCACACATCTGTCTCACCTGGTCACAATACACAGTTCATTATTTGAATGAGGTTGTTCAGTTGGGAGAATGAAGGTGACATCTGTACTGTCTGCCCTAAACTGTAAGAAAAATTTGAGTGAACAATGATGACATTTACCTTGTTTCTAAACTGGTCCTACCTTAGACAAAAATTGAGAAAAAGGAAGTATATGTGCTAATTACCTTTTCTCCATCCACCTATCCGTCCATCCATCCTCTGGTGTCTACTTCTCTGCATCCTACTCAGGGCCACAAGAGGCTCAGAACCCAAACTACTTCCTGGCTGTCCAAACCTACACATGACTCACACCCTAGATCTTCCCTTCTGGGTGGCACTTCGTGTTTGGCGTGACTCCCCACTTTCTGTCCTACATCCCAAGACCGAGTGCACCATGTGACTCTTTAGTCCATGTCATTTGAATTTTAACCTGCTATGTAGCACGAGGCACTTAGCAAATATTAGTTCAATGAATGGCAATTATGTCCATTTTCTGCTTTCAAGACATCATTTTGACATCTGCCTTTAGTGACAGAAAGTGAGGAATGAGGAATTTCAGTCAAAGCCATCAAATAATATCTTCTCAGACAAAAGAATTTGCTTGCCAATCCTTGAATTGTAGCAAACCCATAATATTGCTTTTTAAAACTTTAAACCTGGCTGTGATATCTAAATGTATTTACAATGTCTCTAGCAAAAGCGACAATAAGATCAGCTGACACAGATGACTGTACTAATACAGCATAATAAACTCAGTTCTCGTCAGCAGTATTTTTTATTAGTTCATGGACTCAGAGGCAAAATTTGCAGCAGAGATAGTTCTTTTCGTATTTGATTACAAGAATCATTTTAACAACACAAGCTGTTGTCTTAATTTCATCTTTAAGAGACTGAATGCTACTTATGATTGTTCTTTACAAAATTAAATAATGGAAGTCTTTAGTCTAAGTCTCTGGTGTGTGGTTATTTCTATCGTAGTCACTTAGAACCCACGAGGCCACAATAGAACTTGAAATGGAATCTTAGAGTTTATCACAAGTAAGAGATAGGATGTACTTCATGCCTGCCTGACTCACTGGGGCCCTTCTGGTCTTATGGGAGAGGAAAAAGCTGGCTGTGGTGGAGGGATGGAACCCCACTGGTGGTTACCTCTATGGAGTGGAAAGAACGTGGGTATCATTCTGTTCTGTTCTTACTGTTGAAAGTAGTCCTCTTGCGATAATTAAATCAATGTAGTAAAAAGAAAGGATTAACTTCTTAGGCACATTGGTCAGAGTTATACCTCTCTATTCCTGAGGAAGCTTCTTGGGTGAAAATGTTAGTAATATGATTAGTATTTTACAACATTGTAATGATGACAGATTGCGCTGTACCTCATTTCTGTGCAGCTTACTGAATGAAAGGAGAATAATGTTCCTATGACAGAAACCAGTGAAACCCACAACTTAGGAATAAAAGCTAGTGCTCATGTTTTCAGCTGGCCACCAAGAAGTTCTGACATAAATATAAGAATAGTTGTGATTATGTACCTGTAACTGCAGGTTACTCAGGGAGAAATGATCCTCAAGGGCCCTTTGCATGTGATTACAGTTTGTCACTACAGGACTACAGTAGAGGGAAATTTTCTTTTGTGCAGTATATAACATGTCTATGCATTATATTGTCCAAATGGTTATCTGTCTATTTATCTGTCTGTCTACCTATCTATCTAATCTATCATCTGTCTATCTATTATCTATTATCTAACGTCTGTCTATTATCTAACATATATCTATATCTATATCTATCTATCTATCTATCTATCCATCTTTGCTACCCCCTGTTAGGGTTAACCCAAACTGCCTTAAGACTTAGAAATAGAATCATTTATTGGCTTCTGTAATGAAAATAAAATATTGTCTCATCAGGGACTTGACCAGATGCTCAGAGAAGGCCATTACTGTCAAGTTCCTCTGATTTCTGAACTCTGCTTTCCTGTGTGTTGGATTTTCCAGTTAGATATTGTGTTAATTTCCAAGGGCTGCTATACCGGCCACAATAGAGTGACTTGTAACTTATGGTCTTAGCGTTCTGCAGGCCAGAGAATGAAGTGAAGGTGTTGGTAGGATGGTCCATATGAAGGTTCCAGAGGTGAAGCTTTCTTTGCTTTTCGCACCTTCTGATTACAGCCTTGAGCTCCTAGTGTTCCTTGGTCTGTGGCTGCCCCATTCCAGTGTCTGCCTCTGCCACTACATGGCTCTTCCCTCTATCTCTTTGTCTCTGAACCTCTGTCTCCTTGTAAACACGCCATTCATTGATCTAAGTGCCCACTCCAATGCAGTAATACCTTATTTCAATTTGATTACGACAAGGGCCCTGTTTCCAAATCTGGTCACATTCACAGATACTGAGGGTTAAAATTTCAGCATTCATGTTTTGGAGATGCAATTCAGCCCACAATATACGTGAGAACAAAATGGCTGAAGCGGCTCCTTGACTGCATCTTTCCAGGCTGAAAGCCAGCAGAAAGGAAAGTCTGTCTCATAGTTATTCAAGGAGAACCATGGGCTATCACCCACTGCCCATGAGGTGCTCATGACTTGACAGTCACTCTGATCAGAGGGATATGGTACCTTTTTTGCCAGGCCTAAGTGCTCTGCCCAACCCTGTAATATGTGGGCCAAGAAAGAAGCAAAGATTAACTTTCCAGGAGAAAATTGGAACTCATTACCAAAGAGTAGTGGAAGCTAGATGGCCAAGCAGCTCCTATACATTAAAAACAACTTAAAATGGGTCCAAGATAATATAATTAATACATCTAAGCAAGATATAATATCAACATGTGGACGCCTATTTACCCCTGATTTGTTATGTTTGTTTGTTCTTATTTGTTTCCAGTTTTACTCAGATATGGTTGGCTTCTATGAAACTGTACATATTTGTAAATATGATGAGTTTTAACATATGTAAAACCGTTGCCATAGTCAAGATAGTAGGTACCTTCATCACCTTCCCAAGTTTTCACATGCCGTTTTATAATGCATCTCTCCCTGCCCTCCCCATTCTTAGGTAACCCTTAATTGGCTTTCTGTCAATGAATTCTGCCTCTACATTAATTTGCATTTTTAATAATTTTAGATAAATAAACTTCTACAGTAGGATTCTTAAAATTTATTTTTATCAGGCCTTTTTTTTTCTTTTTCTTTATTTTTTGACTGTTTAAGTTGGTTATATAGATTGGTGGGTTTCATTTTGGCAGATAATGTATATGCACAAAACATACTTCAATCATTTTTACACACTCCCCTCCACCCCTGTTACCCCGCTGTCCTGTTTGACATGTTTGGTGGATTTCCATGTGTGCAATATGTTTTGTTCATGTCCACCCCCATTACAGTAGATATTATTTTGTAACAAGGTTTTCTACTCAGACCAATTACTTTGAGCTTCATCCAAGTTGTATCAATGGCTGTCTCTTGTTCACTATTAATCAACTGGATGTATATGCCACACTTCATTTATCAATTCACCTGTTACCAGACATTTTGATTGTTTTCAGGTTTGGGCTATTATAAATAAAAAGTTCAGTTGGGAAACATTTACTTAAAATTGGAATTTCTTTTGTTTAATAATAGATGAATTATGCATAAACCTGATGTTCATGTAATACTACCAAAAAATGTGATAAGATTTTTTCTTTTCTTCTTTCCAGATACTGAGGAGAGCCGACAAAAATGGTAAGATGAGACTACAGTTTCTGCTTATTAATTTCAACTTTCAGACCTCCTTATAAAGAATAATAAAGAAAATGCCCTAAAAGCGACCTATAAATGTCAATTTCCTGAACTAATCACCATTTCAGGCAAGTGTATAGCTCTTGATATTCATGAGAAGGTGACAAAGAAATTTACTCCACTTGACTGGAAGATGGAATATAAATTATGCCCTTGAAGTGAGGGACCCTATTGTACTGGCTTTTCTCCTAAATACTTCCAGAAATAATTTTACAGCAGTACCAGCAATACCATGAATGTATTGAGTGTCTTTTGTGTGCCAGGCATTGAGCTGTGTGTTTTACATACATCCTGTTTCAGGAGTATTAAGATTTAAAGCTGTGCCTTGAACACAGGTATATTTGACACCAAAGTCTGAGATCTCCACTTTTAACGTCATACTGCCCTTTAGAATCCTGCTCTCCTCTAGCACAGTTGCCTGGGAACCATCTGATATCTCCTCTAGCATAGTTGCCTGGGAACCATCTGATATGCACCATGTTTCCTGCTCCCATTTGAAGTATATGCACAGGGGCTGACCCATCTACAGAAGAGGAAGAAATGGCCAGCCAAAAGTAGAAAATTGCTCTGGAAATTTAGTAGCAGCTGTACAAAGTCCAATTTTAAGCTGTAAAGAGCAGTATCTTTTACTCCTTTATTCTACTAGAAATTTTGCTTCGTGGAATACCCAATCAGAGCTACTAAGCTTATTCTAACACGATAGCGTATGTTCTATAGTGGAGATGTATTATTGAGAAGAGTTTCTTTCCCTTTCTTGAAATCCCATTTTTCATCTATGTGGAAGCATTAAAGTTAGAATGGAGAGCTGACAGTTTAAAGACATAAGTTGTTGTATATTTGTTCTTAAGCTGCAGATCAAGAAAAGCTTGACTGGCATTATATATTTATATATCTTTCCGCTCAAGAGAAAATGTATCAGTCCAAGAAGCGATGAAATAGAATCCCAAGTCCTGATAGCATTTAGCTGTGCTTGGCCTTGGGAATACATTTTTCAAATTATGTTCTTGTAATTGACATATTACCAATTCAAAGATGCTTTTAAATTGCTTTGCTTGAAGCATTTGATTACTTTCTAAGGCTTCCTAAGACACAAGTAATGATGTTATCATCATTCTTCTGATCATTCTGCATTTCGCTTGTTATCCAGTCCCAGTGATACCTGAAGGACAACAGAATAACCCATCAGCCTTTGTGTATTTATTTCAGCGGCTGTCTATGGCTGAGAAGTGCCTTATCTCCACCCAAGCTATGCTTCTCTCAGGCTATTTGCTTTATTTCCTTGGTCCCTAGGGCTCTAATTAAAGACCATCATTACACTTGCATCTATTACTTTTCTTTTTATCACAGTTATACTCCATAGTCATAAAAAGAACCAAAAGTGTCATAATCCATAGTCATGATAAAAAGCACCTGACAAACCAATTAATATCATTTGATGGCTTATGGTAACCCATTATATTAAGCTACAGAGTAGTCATGCTGGCAGCTGTATTTCCCATATTTCTCTCTCTGCCCCTTATCCTGTGATGCCATTTCCCTTCTTGCTCCCTTTCCTAATGCCTAATCGTAACACACTGTGAAAGCTACCTCCCCTTTTGCTCTTATCTCATCAACATACTTACTGTTCTACAGCCCACTGAAGCATGGCATTCCCTGAGCATAAGTATTAGTCATTTTCCGTTGTTGAGACAAAATAGTCAATACTTGAAACTTAAAGGGAGAAAAGTTCATTTGGGCTCAGAGTTTCAGAGGGTTCCATCCATGGTTGACTGACTCCAAGGCAGAAACAGCATGGTGGAGGGGCATGATGGGGGAGAGCTGCTAAACCCGTAATGGCCAGGAAGCAGCAACAGAAGGGAGGAGCCACTGATACACCCTTCCAGGTCACAATATAGTGACCTGCACCACCAATCAGGCCCTACCTCCCAACAGCGCATGAATTCATCAATGGATTACTCTACCAATGAGTAAAGTGCTTTTGTGATCCAATCACCTCCCCCAAAATATTAACCAGAATAATATCTCTCCACCTGCCATGCCTCTTTGATGCTGCCTTGCCTCACCTTCTGCTTGCTGCAACTTTCTACTTCTAGTCCATCTGAGAAATGCACATATTTCTTACATTCCTGCTGAAAAGACCCTTTATTTGCAAAGCCTTCCCTGGGCTGCTTGGCAGGGCCTCACCCTCTCTGAGGTCTCAGTCCTTCCACACATGTTGACGATTGCCCTGGCAGTGGAACACACTGTTGTTTTACTTCTATAAGCCAAAAATGCCTTTCTAGTACAAGAAATTTGTCTTATGAGTAGACACTATGCCCATCCAGTACTAAGTGCTCAATAGATTTTTGTTTAATGAATTTCTAATTGAGGATGTTTGACTGTACTATAGTTCCCTCTTCTATCTGTCCAGTCTTTTCCCTGCCTGTTATGCCACTGTATTCTTCTTCCTCATTTTCAGTGTAAATTGGTGGGAAGGTAGAGTCAGGCAGGGTCTGGGCTTAAATCACAGCTATGGCACCTATTAATTCCATGTACATCTGGGAGCTGTGATGTATAATGAATGAGATAATGCAGGTAGAGTCTCCAGGGCAGTGCCTGAGACATGGTATGAAGCTAATACTGAACACTGAGCTGTTTTTTGCACTGTGAGCCTTTGGCTATCTGAGACTCTTGATAACATTTCAGTTATTTCTACTGCAGTGGAGGTTAGTAGATAAAAAACCATACAGCTGTTTGGTATACATGCAGAATTGAAAATTTTAAAAGAGATTGGGTGATCTACTGTAAATAAAAACATAGCAAAGCAATCATCTTTCTGTACATGTGTTCATTGCATTTTGTATTTGTAAATAAACAGCTGTTACATGTATTTGATCTCTCCTGACAGACCCTTGGGTGATAGAATTCCTTGTGGACAGCATAATTGTTGATGGAATAATGAAGGGAATAAGAGGCAATAAACAGTAGGATGGCTATCCTGCCAGAGGACAGATTTAGCACTTGGACTCTATCTGACATGAAAGAGAAACACTGCTGGATACATGGAGGGAAAACACATGATTAATGATTAGCTATAATAATGGTATCTTTGAGAGATTTTTTTCTGTTTGGTTGTTGTTTTAAAATCACAGGCTAGGATCCTAAACATAAAGATAGACCTGAAAATAGAATTGCTTGGGGAAGATGCTAGTGCTTTGATCTAAAAAGCCTGGAATTAAACCCAAAGATGTGAAATGCCTCAGAAAGCTTACTGACATTAAGATTGAATGGAAATGGCAATGGCACATCAGTGTTCTTTAAATTTAAAAAGATTTTTAAAATTTAGGCATTTTATTTTAAAATAGCCAGTTGGGAAATAAAGATTGTATATATTCAGGGTGTGCAATATGATGACCTGACTTTACAGATAGATAGATAGATAGATAGATAGATAGATAAATAGAGATAAAGATAGTCATTGTGTAGTGGTTATCACAACTAAATTAACACACACATCACCTTCCACTTTGTACATTAGATCCCAGAACTAGTTCATTTTTTTACTAGTTCATTTTCTAAGTGAAAGTTTGTCTCCCACCCTCAGCTCCTGGCAACCTCTCTGCTTCTATGAGTTCCACTTTTCAGATTCTACATGTATGTGAGATCATATATTTATGTTTCTGTACTTGGGCCAAAAGACATTTTTAGCTTTCGTAAAAGGCAAAACCCAAAAACTCACAGTAGTGACAAACACAATCAAATTCCTCATGCTGATGTGCAGTTTCTAAGATGGCTGCCACTCTTAGCAGCAAATAAATAGGCTGTGTGGCTGGCACCTTGATCTTTTTATATTGACTGATCTCTTTAAGAGCCCTGGACAGTTCTCAGGGCAGTAGTCTGATCTAGCAGCCTGTGCATTCTAAGTCTGCTGGGAGAGAGATGTCTGAAGTGAACAGTGGTGAGCAAAATGTCAGCCATGAAGTAAAGTTGGTGAATCTATTTGTAAGAAGGGAATAACCAGCAGTTTGATCTTAAAAACTGAAGGATAAACAACAATAACACACACACACACACACACACACACACACACACACACACACACACACGTTCTTATCCAATGAAGTCCTATTGTTAGGTATTGCTTATTAATTAATCATACTGGCTAAAGTTTATGAAAGACATCTTATTGGCAAGGTCCTACCCTAGTTGCCTTATACACATCATCTTTAGTCATTATGAAAAGTCAACAGATGAAAGCAATAAGAACAGAGGATTTCAGGTCAAAGTGTCCCAGCTCTACCTCTTTCTCTCTTTGTAACATTTAACAAATTATTCAACTTCCCTGTGCCTTAGTTTTCTCATCTGTGAATGGGGGTAATAATACCTATCTAATAAAGTTGCCTTGAAAATTTATTTATTTATTTATTTATTTATTTTTTTGGTTTTTGGTTTTTCTCTGGTACCGGGATACCTTGAAAATTTAATGAGAATTAAGATTATATCTTTAAAACATTTTTCCTGATCTCAAACATAGTAATAATTGTCCAGGGTTTTTAAAACTATTTTTATTATTTTCATTTTTTAAGTAGAACAAAGGAAGATAAAGAGGTTCAATAACTTTCTCTGGGTGATACTGTATGTTAACAGTAGAGCCAGGATTGAGAATCCAGGTTCTGACTTCAAACTGATCATTTCACTTTATTGTGTGTGCACATTTGCATGTGTTTTAATCTATAAATGCATAGATAATTACAGTTATAAGTGAAATGTGTAAAGATCTTGACTATAATGTTCTGGCTCCTGAATGCGTAGTACTTATAGATTTAATAAACTAGTTTCCCTGGGAATCTGAAAGAATTATGACTGAATGACTAATATACCTGCACAAAACAATGTCAGCCATGAAAAATCCTCCCTGAAAAATACCTGATGTGCTATTTGGTTATTCGGAGGTATTTTGAAGA